AAAAATATATATATATATATATATATATATATATATATATATATATATATATATATTTTAGCCAAGCCGCGCGCCCCCCGAGCCGGCCAAGCCGCCGCGCGCGCGCCCCTCCAAGCCAGCTATGCGCGCGCGCACCGAGAGAAAAAAAAAAAAAAAAAAAACAAAAGGAGGCGCGCGTGCACCGCACGCGCGCGTGGCAAACACGCGTGCACAGCACGCGCGCTTCAGCAAAAAAAAAAAAAAAGGGAGAGAAAAAAGGCGCGCGTGCACCGCACGCGCGCGTGGCCAACACGCGCCTGACGCGCCCGCGTGCACAGCACGCGCGCATCGGCAGAAAAAAAAAAAAAAAAAAAAAAAAAAATTGGAGCGCGCGCGCTTTCCAAGGAGCCCTTGGACTGCGTGCTCCCATCAAATCGCGCTCAACTTTCACCGTCCTCCACCAAATTGCGCGTAGATTTTGACTCACTTCTCCAAATCGCACGAGAATTTCAACGCGCTCCACCAAATTGCGCGAGCTCTTTAACGCACCTACCAAATTGCGTTCGCTATCAAATAAAAAAAAAAAAAAATTATTTCTCCACACCATGCCAACGATTAACGCAAGACTACAACACCGATCTACTCTCGACAAGATCCGGTACCCTTTTCAACGTGGCTCCCACATCCTCTCGAGAGTGGGGGGCTTGCGAGACAACTCCCACGAGGAGCCAACTCGCGCAGTAATACAACCTGCAGCGAGACAACTCCCACGAGGAGACAGCTCGCTCGGTCCTACAACCTCTTACAAGGAAACTCCCACGAGGAGCCAACTCCCTACGAAACCATAGCGAGTTAACTCCCACGAGGAGACTACTCGCTCTGTCCTATAACCCGTTGCGAGGCAACTCCCACGAGGAGCCAACTCCCTCGGGTCTCAACGCCATAGCGAGATAACTCCCACGAGGAGCAAACTCGCTCGGCCCTACACACTCGTTGCGAGACAACTCCCACGAGGAGCCAACTCGCTCGGAACTACAACCCGTAGCGAAACAACTCCCACGAGGAGATAACTCGCTCCGTCCTACAACCCGCAGCGAGACAACTCCCACGAGGAGCCAACTCCCTCGGGTCTACGAAACCATAGCGAGATAACTCCCACGAGGAGACCATTCGCTCCGTCCTATAGCCCGTTGTGGGACAACTCCCACGAGGAGCTAACCCCCTCTAGTCTCAAAACTACAGCGAGACAACTCCCACGAGGAGTCCACTCGCTCAATCCTACAGCCCGTTGCGAGGCAACTCCCACGAGGAGCCAACTCGCTCGGTCCTACGAACTCACAGCGAGATAACTCCTACGAGGAGACCACTCGCTCCATCCTACGACCCGCAGCGAGAAAACTCCCACGAGGAGCCAACTCGCTCGGTCCTACGAACCCACAGCGAGATAACTCCTACGAGGAGACCACTCGCTCCATCCTACGACCCGCAGCGAGGAAACTCCCACGAGGAGCCAACTCGCTCGGTCCTACGAACCCACAGCGAGATAACTCCTATGAGGAGACCACTCGCTCCATCCTACGATCCGCAGCGAGGAAACTCCCACGAGGAGCCAACTCGCTCGGTCCTACGAACCCACAGCGAGATAACTCCTACGAGGAGACCACTCGCTCCATCCTATGATTCGCAGCGAGATTACTCCCACGAGGAGCCAACTCGCTCGGTACTACAACCTACAGCGAGATAACTCCCACGAGGAGACAACTCGCTCGGTATCCCAACCCGCAGCGGGACAACTCCCACGAGGAGCTAACTCGCTCGATATTACAAATCCGTTGCAAGGCAACTCCCACGTGCAACCACCTCGCTCGATAATAAGACTCGCTGCGAAACAACTCCCACGAGGAGACAACTCGCTCAGAGCAACCTCAATCCACACGCGCCTAAATCGCGCATCATCCAATGCTCCTACAACTTCGCTCAAGACAACTCCCATGAGGAGACAACTCGCCCGAAATTCACCATATAATCGCAAGCTCAAGTTAGCACGATTACAATCCTAGAAGCACTTAGAGATATTATGAGAATCTATATAGCCTGGCCAGCTTGATTACTCAAATTTATCTACTTGTTTTCGATGGGTCATTCATTAAAACGTGGCCACGGTCCAAACATACTTAAGACCCACGAGGTCTAACAAGGGGCACGACCCCCATATAAAAAAAAATCTTGAGAGCCTGATCCCCTCCTCAAGTACATCACGCAGAAAGCTATATGTAAACACATACAAGCAACGCGTCAAAACATTGAAAATGTCGAAAAATAACAACTCCCACGAGGAGAATACTAGCTCCGTGCTACTACATTATCGTGAGACAACTTCCACGAAGACGTAACTCGATCAACTCGATTACCCCAGAGACAACTCCCACGAGGAGATTACTTGATCCGTGCTACTACATTATCGCGAGACAACTCCCACGAGGAGATAACTCGATCAACACTATTACCCCGCGACAAGATAGCTCCCACGAGGAGATAAATCGCTACTACATCGTCGCGGGACAAAACCGACGACTCGATTAATTTATATTGCGGCAACTTTGTCGCGCTATGCGCCAACGCGCATTCACACCCCTCCGACACACGCTCCAACGCGTTTTCGCATACCATTAGGCCATACGCCAATGATCGACTTCTCCAATTTTTACTCTCGACACGATTTGAGACCCATCACAACATGGCCCCCACATCGACTCGAGAGTGGGGGGCTTAATGATATGCCTAATTGGGCCAACCCAATGGGCCTACAATTTCTTTACCTACTGGGCTACGAGTCCAATATCGAAGACTAATATCACCGAGGCCCAAACACCTTCAAGTAAGGCTTGGGCTCAACAAAGCAAACCCAACCCAATAAACGACATATAAATAGAGGTTTTCCTCATTTTATTAAGGTACGTCCTATTAACTGAGTAATACTATCAACAAAGCAAACCCAACCCAATAAACGACATATAAATAGAGGTTTTCCTCATTTTATTAAGGTACGTCCTATTAACTGAGTAATACTATCAACAAAGCAAACCCAACCCAATAAACGACATATAAATAGAGGTTTTCCTCATTTTATTAAGGTACGTCCTATTAACTGAGTAATACTATCAGCGAAAATGATAAATACAGTACCAGAAATGCTGAATGCAGTTTGGCCGAAAATTGCATATAAGGGTAGTATAGTACTTTCCCTTCTTCAGGGGATATATCAAAGGATGATTTGGACTTGGGTTTATCCTTAATTTATTTGGTGGCTAGGGGTATGTAAAATAACCCTAAAATTCAATCCAATCTTTATATTTAAATTGTCCGCGTGCGATGCGCAGGTAAAATACCAATTTAACTAAAAAATAAATATATTCTAATTTTATTCCTAAAGTACATATTCTAATTTTCTTTCTCAAAAAAGCAAAAAGAAAAATATATTCCAATTTTCCATAATAAATTTATTGTCACAAATTTACCGTACACAATCACTGCATTTCAGCATTCTTTTCAATTTTCAAAGTTTACTGTAACATTGCTTCGTTTACACTTAAAGCTGGTAAAAAAAATAAAAAAAATCACTGCTTTCCCGCAATCCAATAACCAATCGATTCAATTTTTGGAGGGCTTTTTGAAATCACGATTGTTTCGAAAGAACCCATCGATTGAATTTCGTCGTTGAATTGTTTAATTCCCCCGGCATGGTGGTGGGCCCCATTCCGACAGGTATCGGAAAAAGACCACTCCTTTTTTTTTTTTTTCCGCCATTACCCTTCCACTACCCATTTCTTCAAATTCAATTTCGGGATTCAATCTAGCAAATAAAACCCTGGCCGCACATAATTTGATTATTTTATTGTAAATTATTTTTTTATCAGTTCTTGTCTGAAAGTTACATTCTTTATTGGAAAATGGGTACTCCTAGATTTTTCCCCACTCCCTCTTTTTGTAAGTATATATATATATCATGTATGTATATGTATGTATAGCCAGTTCTGGGTCTTTTTTATTTTTAATTTGACTGCAATTTTTGAGAATTTTGAGTAAGCATCTCTATTTCAGAATCTTGAATTGCAATTGGGTTTTTTCTTGTCAGCAAAAGCGATCTGGTTGTGGTTTTGCTGTTTGATGAAATGTAGGAACTTGAATTACTATTGCAGATGATACATACAAGTTAGTTACATATGTTTGTGGTTAAAAATTAAATCTTGAATTCATTTGTTGTCCTTTGCTAAGTTTGTTGTTGCCCTTCGTTTGTCCGATTTCGGAGCCTGTGTTCTTGTGGATTTCATCTTGTCATGGTATTTAGTTATCTCACTCATCCAATTTCAATTAGTTAGTTAGTTCGTTCTTCGAATCCCCTCGTAGTCTCGTACAATTTTTTTTCTCATCTGTAAGTTGACTTCCGATGAATAGCATATCGTTTTCTTCTTCGGTAGGTGAATTAGCTGTTCCATCTCTTGCTCTTGATCGATATCGTACACGAATTAAATACGAAATTTTACATTCATGGCATTGAGTATTCGTTACAGAGAAATGCTACAAAATATTCGTTAATTTACAATCTCTTTGCTTATCCTCCATTCGGTCATAGTAATGCATTATTTCGAATTATAAACTTGAACACAGTCTAAAAGTATCTAACTTTTTTCTGCCAGGTCTTGTATAGCGCATGGCAAACAACAACGTTTCCGCAATTTGCTCTTGCTGTTCGGAAATGGATGGCATATTTTCTCGTCTCTTAATCTTAACTTCCTCTATTACACGTCGATTAATCGAATTTTTCGGTGAGCTCTTTATTTCAACACTATTTATGTCCAAATGCCGATAAATGTTGTAAGAAAATTGCTCTTATATACTTTTCTCTGACTCGAATCTTTTTTTTTTTTAATAATGTTGCAGAAGATATTCTGTTAAGGGATGTGAATAGATTGTTACGAGATTCGGAGATCAATTCTTATGGTCAAAGTCAAACATCTGCAACCTATGCATCTTCTTCAAGAGATTGTAACTCCGATACGAGCATAGCCTTTCTTGATAGAAATGCCTCGGATTTGGACGATCATCATTCGTTAACAAATTCGGGATTAGAAATTGTAAATAGAAATTACCACAGGGGTGTCCGCTTCATTTTTAAAGGGTAAAATTTACTGCCCCGGAATCTTCTTTCAAGCCTCTCATTTTGAATTAATACGGCCATCGTTCAATTTCAGAATCTGTTTATTAATGTCCGTTTGTAGGTTGATGCTCCCGTTATATTGTTTTGAATTTGCATGGGGATCGGTAATAGCATCTTGGAGATGCTCTTGTTATCATATGAGATGTATGCAAGCTAACATGCAGAGGTGAAACGATTATACGCTTTGATCTTAGTACTCGTACAAAAGTGGACAAGTAAATCTTTTGTTGCTCGAGTAATATTTGACTTTTCTATGTATTAATTATAACTTTTATTCTGCAATTTGTTTTTGTTTTTTTTTTTGTTTTCTTTTTCTTTTTTATAGTTTTGTATCGAGGATTGTGAAAACTTTGCATGGGTCGTCCGATGACATCGGGTGGTTACAAAGTGCACCCGGGATGGCTCCGGTGGAGGATGGTTCAGCTAGATTCGTCGAGCTTCTCCAAGGCATAAGGTACCAATTGACTTTAAAACGCAATTCAATTTAATCGAATGTACGTTTTACACTAAGGCTCTGTTTGGATCACGGGTAATACTACGTAAAAAGATGAAAGTGCTAGGTAAGATAGAATTTCATGTTTGGTTAGGAAGTAAAATACTAAGTTCTTTTAGAGATATTAAATAGTTTATTTATATTTGCTTAGAAATTTAAGCTTCTAGATGAGGTGTGACTATTTAATAGGCCTTTCGAAAATTGAAGGTAGACCAAACGAACATGAAAAAGAAAACCTAAAGACAACTAATGGAACATCATAGACTTTGTTGCACTAATTAGATTACTTTCTTTAAGTAATGTAATATGATACTTTGAAGAAGCTGCAACTAACTTACAAACGTGTGTGTGTATATAAATTGGGGTTGTTTCGTTATTTATACATGCCGCAAACTGTCATGCGACCGTAGTTCCTCGTATCGCTAGACGACCAAATCATCATTAAATTCTTTTTCGGGATCCAAATTTGTTTATTAGAATATTTTTTTTCTTTTTCTCTTTTTGTTCTCATTTCCAAAATTCTGATTTTTATTCTTCCAATTTTTTTAGATAAAAATTGTAATTAATTATCAAAAATTTCAAGTTTCAATCCAATTTTAATTTCCAATATTATTTCCATGTATTTATAATTAATATCATCAATATCGTATATGATGCATTCTAAACTCAATTTATAATAATAGTATGTACGTTATTTTTTTGTCCTCATTTCCAAAATTAAAAAAAAAAAAAAAAAAAAAAAACAAATTGCCTTTTTTTTCAGATTTTTTTATCTCCAATCCGACAAAAAGATTGAAGCGCCTGTTGCTGGCTCGGGTTCGAGAACGAACCAGGCAGATTTTTTGCTTCCTTTGCAAAGCTCAATTATATCATGGATATTGAATTCCAAATGAAACAATGACTTCTAGACTTTGTTAAACTTCCAGTTATATCCATGGATATTAGTTTCCAAAAACAAACAAGTCTTCAGATTAAACTTCCAGTAAAACCAACCATCCGTAACTAGAACTTACTGCACAGTATCAAAACTCATTGTGCCATAAATTTAAATGAGTGTATCTTCGAGCAACGTCATGTGATATCAAAAGCAATGGAAGATGTTCGCTCTCCATGTTTTCTCACGATTTGAACTAAGTCATAAGTCATCCTAATTCTCATGCGGAAGGAGGCATTTGTTAAGAGGACAAGAAAACTATGTTGGAACGTTGGAACGTTATGACTTTTCTATTAGTACTTATTACTTTACTCGGATGATTTATAAATGAGATTATTCTCCTATTTATAAATGATTTTGTAAATTAGATTATTGGATATTAGTTTAATCATACGATTGAGAGTGCCTCTCTAGAGCAATCCATAATATTATACTCACAATTTAGAACAAGAGTACAAGAAATCTCTACAACCTGAAGAAAGTTTTCCATATTTTTTAGAACATCCTTACCTATATAATATTATGACTCATTGATGATTTACCGTCGAAATCTAACGTGAAATGAAATGTTGATTAATATCCAAAAAATAATTGAACATAGTCGAACTCCATCTTGTTTTTCTTTTTCCTTTTCCTATTTTACTGTTTATAATACATATTTGCTTTATAATATGTATTTCTTGCGTATTATTTTCAGGAATGGGCTCCACAAACTACCTGATTCATTCGTGTACCTTCTCATTCCAGGTTTAACAATTTTTTCGTCTTCTTGCACTATTAGTTTACTTTAAACGGATTAAAATATTGCGTTCTAATACTAATAATCCTACAAATGTATGTTCTTTAATTAGGACTTTTCAGCAATCTTGGCCCGTTATATTTCGTTAGCACCAAAAGATTCTTCTCGAAGATGGGCCTAGCTTGCCACATTGCTAAAATTCACAGCGAGGTACGTCGATTTATGTATTTATAAATATTATCACGTTTCATGAAGAAACACGTACAGTTGAACCTCGATAAATTAATAAACTCGCTTAAATAATAATTTATTTCGATACCGACTCGGTGAAAACGTATCAAATTATTAGTTCGATAATTTAATATTTCGCTAAATTAATAGAATTTTGCTAGTCCCGATTGTATTAATTTATAGAGGTTTAACTGTAATTTATTTTTTTAATGATTTGTTTTAATACTTAGGCATCGGTAGAACAAAATGCATGGGAACTAAAGCAATATATAGAGGAGCTATACTGGGGGAGCGGCAAGCGCGTGATGTTGCTCGGCCACAGCAAAGGTGGCGTTGATGCTGCAGCTGCTTTGTCGATTTATTCGGAGGAATTAAGGGATAAAGTAGCTGGGTTGGCGCTGGTGCAGAGTCCTTACGGTGGAACCCCGATCGCGTCCGATATTCTTCGTGAAGGCCAGGTCGCTGACAAGGAAACTCGCAGGATTATGGAGTTTTTGATATGCAAACTTATTAAGGTAACTTTTATCGGCTTCTAAAATCATGTTTAATACTATTAGATAACTCTCGAGTATTTTTCACGTTGTTTCTTTCATGTGCAGGGCGATATACGAGCGCTAGAGGATCTCACGTACGAGAAACGGAAGGAATTCGTCGGGGCCCACAAACTCCCGGAGAATATTCCAATCATCTCGTTCCACTCCGAAGCCAGCGTGGCGCCGGGCGTCATCGCCACGTTGTCCCACATCGCGCACGCGGAACTCCCGTGGCTCCCGCAGTTTCCGGGGGAGGATAGGGAAAATGACGATTTTGCCCTTGCGGCACGGAAGGTTCCGGTGGTATTTCCGGTTTCCGCTGCGATGGCTCTGTCGGCCCTCCATTTGCAGTTGAGATACGGAGAGAAGAGCGACGGGCTTGTGACGTGCCGCGATGCTGAAGTACCCGGTTCGATTGTTGTGAAACCCGAGAGAAAATTGGATCATTCGTGGATGGTGTATTCTTCTTGGAAGAAAGATCCCGAAGATTCTTCGGAGGTTGATGCGTGTGAGATGTGTGAGGCTTTGTTGACTATGCTTGTTGAACTAGGGGAAGAAAGGTCTAATTGATAACAAAAAAATAGTGTGTGTGTGTGTGTGTGTGTGTGTTTTTGGAAGTCACATTGTAAAATATATAGCCATGTAGTAGTCTATCGTTTATGTAACGAAGTTATACGTAGAAATCAGACGGAACAGATCAGAATTAGTATTTTCCGAAAAAAATCCTATTTTTCTGGCAAGTGGAGAATTTTTTTTTTCTTCCTAATTTCAAAAATTTCAAAATCTAAAAATCAATTCCGATTCCAAAAGGGTATGAAATTTGGGAGTTTTAATATTTTTTTTAAATTATGTCATTTTATAATTTAAAAAAAAAATATTCAAAAATATATATTATGTTTATCTCAATCTTGCTAATATATTTGAAATTAAAATTATTTTGGGGAAGTAAAATTAGAATGAAAATTGGATTCTGGGAATTTTATATATAATTTCGATCCTGATTTAAAAAAATATTGAAAAAATCAGAAATCGGAAATCTCAGCAACGTAAATGAAAAGGAACGACTTCACCATTGGATCGTCAACGGTGGAATTCGAAAATTTTGTTTCGATTTGACTATTTCCATCACCAAACAAAATGTTAACCATATAACCAAATGTTAATACAAAAAATAAATAAATAAATAAATTCCAAATAGCAAAATGTAGGGGTCTGGTGTGAGTATGGGTGAAGGGTTTGGAAGGGCCCAACTAATAAATTAATTTTGTCTAAGGCCAACTAAATTTCCCTATAATATATTAATATTACCTCAAAAATCAAAATATTATGAATTGATAGGTTCATAAAGGGGCCCCGGCCCCTCTTAGCTCGTGTGTCCTTTGATCAAATATATATCATATATACCAACACAAATAGAAACTATTAGTGATTTTTTATTTTTATTTTTTAAAAACAATTAAAAAAAAAATCAATAAATACATGTAAGCTGGCACAGCTGCGTACATTGAAAATATCAATGATTTATGAGGTGAGGTCATATCACATGGCATTGATTATCTTCCCATTACTATTGTCTTTTTAATTTTTACAAAAAAAAAATTAAAAAAATTAATTACAAGTCCAATGATATTTTTTATTTTTAACAATAGAATTTGAATTTTAATACATTGTATCGTTTTGGGATGTTGCGCACGTATTAAAGAGTTACAAAAAACGTATAGAAAGTGACTAAAACAACGATATCATTGAAATTCTGAAGTAATAAATAGTGATTTGGAGGCGAAAATTTTTTTCTGAGGCGACAAATATTTCGATACAAATATTTGCAGAATCATATACTAGAAAGTAGAAACTTTATGATTTTTGTATTTATTTATATATTTATGATTTATTGGATTCAAGAATATCTGGTGCAGCAACACCAAGTTCAGTTGAATTATGAACCCGACGTCAGATCACTGAATGAATTCTTCCGAATGCAGGTGCACAAAAATTAGTAGCATGAGAAATCTGGATATATATATATATACAAAATTAAATTTGTTCAATTCGGTACCGGAATCTCCATCCGATTTATAGTATCTATCGTTTAAGGTTTTTTCATACGTATTAACAAACAATATGGTTGAATATATATTGTGAAAAAAATACGTAACAAAGACTAAAATAACTTTTGTAAATGAAAGATGCGGCGATTAATAACGGTAAAAAAATAGGCAAAATTACATCCGCCTCTTGATGTAAGGTTATTTACGGAAAAAAAAAAAAAAAAAACTCCTCTTTTTTCATATACTTTCATCCCTATAATCTATAAACTTCTTACATTAATACCCTTTTATAGGGGATGAATGCAAGAAAATTACAAATTATAGTGGCCTGAATGTTATTTCTAAGAAAGAAGGAATTTTATTGTAATTATATTTTACCTCAGGGAGACGATTGTAATTTATCCCGACATAATTTTGAAATTAGTAATCCATTCGGGAAAAAAAAAAAAAAATTGAAAATCATAATTTGCAGAATTAGTAGAAAGATAATATTTCAAAATTAGATACCGTTGGAAATCGGAATAACAATTCCAAATTCCACCCGATTTGGGTTTATCAAAATGAGCAAATCAGGTTTTGGAAATTCAGCTCGAATTCCAAATTCCGACTGTGCCGCAGAGTAAGACCAAAGTTGTTGTCAACATGAAGATGAGACAAATTGGATGAATATAATTTAATATTTTTAATATAAATAAAATTTTCTGCCGTACATGAAAACGAGTTGAAAAATTGAAATCATATTTTGTATGGGGTCCCTAAATATACGGATGTTGGGATGTGAATTAGCTGGAATTCAATTTCGATCAAATTAAATTCCACAAGGTACAACTCCCCACTGCACCCAACCCTACTACGTACTACAACTTGTCTGCTTCTTACACCTCACACAAATCTCTCTCATTCAAATTGGAGTAGTACTTCCTCAAATAAAATTTCAAATTGGAGTAGTACAAGTACTATAACTTGTTTTTTTATTTTATATATATAAACCGTCACTTTAAAATTTCAATAATATATTTATTATTATTTACAATCAATTTTTACCATATTGTTTATAATTAGTGATAAAAATGGTATTTTAGTCCTATACGTTCATTATTTCCCCTAAAATTCAAACATATTTATCAGTACTGGTAATATACGTGTCGTCGTAAACCTGAACCGACAAATAATATGAAACGGAAAAAAATATTAATCTTAATTAATTCTATAGGTTGGTTGTTTGAAATTTTTTTCCAATTTTTATTATTTTTTAATTATTCTATAGTTTACTTAATCAAACACAAAAATAAATGCAAACAAGGTTACATCTCGATCTAGTGAAAATATGGTACAATATATTACCTCAAAAACACAATCCTCCCTAATTGTCCATCCTCATCCTGAAACACTTTCATCTATGTCTAATAATTTCTCAATTATTATTATTATTATTATTTTTTAAATAATTTCTCAATTAAAACTAAATTAATAAAAATTATTAAAAAAATGAAGACTTGAATACTGAATGGAATAATTAATTCCTAAGCCTTAATGGGAACCCATCCAGTTTTGGGTAAAATGATCTGTTATTTACTTATTTTTGTCCCTCTCCTATTTATTGAGCTCATTAAGATGTAGGCATCGATAATAATAATGTCAGTAATTATTTATTTATTTATTTAAATTTTTGGAAAAATATATTATTTTTTATTTTTATTTAATCTTCTCAACATGGCAAAATGAATTAAAAGATTATTAAATTCCATATATAGGTAGCAGGAATATTGTGGAATAAATGAATTTTATCTGGCGTGACATAATAATAAAATAAACCTAGAAAATGCAACTTCTAGGAAAAAGCTAGCTAATAACAGTAGCAATTAATTTCACATTCATGGGTTAAATTAAATTAAAATAATAATATGAACAAATAAATAGCTAGGGTTCGGTACTGAAACATGATCGACATTTAAAGCCCTTGTTTCGATACCCTATATTATTATATGCCTACGAGATTCTTTCCATTTTCACAATTGTACAATTTACTAATTTAGTGAATTAATTTCGTAAAGCTATAATTAATTTGAAAACATTGAACTTAATTTTATTTTATGAATTAGTTGTCATGGTTCATAAATTACACTATCGTTGCATAAATTTCATATGATGTTGTATCATTTAATTTCATTGAGATATATAGAATAATGCGATACCCCTATAGTACATTGTAATAATGGTACGGTACTAATATATATCAAATGTCGTGGTAACCGATATTTTGGTAGTTCCTTGATAATTTTCGGTATATTATACACCTGATAATCGATAGATGGTAATTATTTTCGAGCTCTAGTACTATATATAGAGAATGTAACATATGAAACAAATGATCATGAAATTGAGCTTGTACTCTAGACTTTTTTTTCTTTTAATTATATTTTATATTGTCCACTCATATAATATATATATCTATATATATATATATATATATATATATATATATATATATATATATGATAAAATATTACAAATACCTCTGAAGTATGGTCAATTTATAAAAAAATCCCTTTTGTTTGGATAATTACATCTACCTCTCAACTGTGATTTTTCCTTACACTTCCACCCTTATGGTGTCAAATTCAACATAATCATCTAGATTATGTGAAATGTGCTCTAGTTTATACTCGTTTCGTGTAAAAATATAGTTTCTGATATACCACAATCTGATATATATACAAGCCAAAAACACTTATTATGATCATCTTGCTTCAAAAAGTAGAGTTCGGATAAGATAAAACAGGTACAAAATTGATAATATTCTATATACTCTCGAAGATTCCCCTGAATTTGATGAGTTGAGAGAGTGATTGTATTTATTCAAATAAGAGGGGTTTTCGTAATTTGACCATACATATGGGTAGTTGTAATATACCATATATATATATATATATATATATATATATATATATATATATATATATATATATACAAACACGTTCCTGTTATATATGCACTTTTTGTGTGTGTAAAATGTGGGAAAGTCAGTGATAATTAAGTGGTAGGTTAATTACTTAAAAGCCTCGGTCGGCAGCGTCGACGGGCATCTCTCTCTCTCTAGACTCTCTCTCTCTCTAAACTCTCTCTCTCTCCTAATTCATGTTCTTCTTTCTCACACTGTGTTTACACACACGCGCGCACGCACACACATATAAATAACAGCTAAACCTTTCACTACCTTCTTCATTTAATTTCCACATCTCGATCACTCTGATCACTCTTTCTCTACTTCACTACCACCTCTCTCTCTCTCTCTCTCTCTCTCTCTCTCTCTCTATATATATATATATATATATATATATACACACACACACACACACACACACACAAATACATATATATTCTCATAAGCAATAACGATCGCTTGAAAAAGGGTGGTCGTATTATTTCAGGCGAAAGCATTTACATCAGCGATGGCAGAACAGCCAACGCCGCCGGAAACCGAGTGCAGCGGCGGCGCTTTCTCTTCTCTCTCATCTCAATCATCCGGGTCGGACCAAACCGACAGCCCGGTACCGAAACCGAACACAAACACCCAGGCCAAGAGAAGTAGGGAAAGCGGGTCCGGGTCGGACAGTGAGAAAACGGTCGGCAACAAACGAAACCGGAGCGATGACGACGGCGGCAAGCACACCGTGTACAGAGGCGTGAGAATGCGGGCCTGGGGGAAATGGGTTTCCGAAATCCGGGAGCCCCGGAAAAAATCCCGGATCTGGCTCGGCACCTTCGCCACGGCGGAGATGGCTGCCCGTGCCCACGACGTCGCCGCCATAGCCATCAAGGGAGGCTCCGCCGCCATCCTCAACTTCCCGGAAATTTCGCATCTCCTCCCCCGACCTGCCACGTGCTCCCCACGTGACGTCCAGGCTGCCGCCACCAAGGCCGCCCACATGGACCACCTCGACCACCACCGCCGCCTTGATTCGCCGTCGCCGTCGGCAGTTTCCACCACCACCACCACTACAACCACATCATCAACCTCGGAGGAGTATGTTTCCAGGGAGCCGGGGGACGAGCTGGGCGAGATAGTGCAGCTACCGAGTCTAGACGCGAGTTACGAGTCGACTCGGTGCGGAGATGATTTACTCCTGTTGGGGCAGGATTATTCGTGGGATTATTACTACAATCACTCGTCTGCTTCTTCGTACAGTTTAGAAGAAGAGTGTGGGTTTTTCTTCCAGGATAACTTGGTGGTTGACGAGGATAACACCATGTCTCCCAATTTTGAAGCCCTCTTATGGAAAAATCAATATTGCTGATTTATTAAAACAAAATATATTATAAACAAAAAGAAAAAAAAAAAAAAATCACCTCAATATTGATGGTAAGTTTTTTCTTTACTTTTTTTTTTTACCGTTTCATGATCTATGCTACCCTCGTATTTTACACACATCCACGTATATATCTGTGTGATTCTGTGTAAACCAAAGGTGAAAACAGTGTAATTCATCGAGTGCAGCATCGTTTATTTACTCCGCTTTTTATTTATTTATTTTTGCTTGATATATCCTTCTTTTTTTATGGGATGAGTTTTGACCATTTTCACGTTGAATTTGCATTTTATTTTTTTTTGTATTTAATTAATATTCATTATCTTTTTCTTTTATTTTTTCAATATAAAAATGGCTTTGGATTTTACTTTGTGGTCTTTATTTTATTAATTCTATAGATGGAAACAAAGTAGTAGAGATATACTTGCCTTGCATATCAAGTTCTTAGGCAATAGTGGCATTTCTTTTCTTCTTTCTTTTTTAATGCCTTTCTTTATGTAATATATTATGGGTTTTGTATTACTATAATAATAATAAATATAAAAATATATATGTTTAAGGAAAATTATTTTAAGCATTGACAATTTGTTGACCGAAATTCCTAGCTATATATCACATTTAATGATTTTACATGGACTATACTTGAACAGAAAATATTATAAAATAAAATAAAATTCAGCTGTGATTAATTAAACTGTTTTTCATTTATTTTTTTATTTATTATATTTTGAGTCCCTTAGTTATAAATACTTGGATATGCTTTCCATTTACTTTCATGGTTAATTAAATCTTGTTTTTCTTTTCAGACATTTAATTTATTTATTTTTCAAACATTAATTTTTCTTTTTTGTGGTTGTTGTCTGATTCGTAGTGTAGTCCTCTCAAGCAAGTCACCCTACAGTATGACGGCTATAGCGTGCCTGCCGTCTTAAAAAATAACTTTTTCCCGTTTT